TTCTGAACATCTGGAGCCACACAGACCTACCTGGCCACACTCCAAAGGCCTCCAACCTACCTGGCGCGCACCCGAAACTCCATCTCTGCTCTCTTTGCGCGTAACCTCCTGTTTTCCTTTTCTCCTCTCCCTCCTCCTCCTCCTCCTCCTCACCAGCAGCCTATCCCCTGGCAAAACCTCCAGCAGTAGTTCAGCTGGCCTCCCTCTACACTCCACCGCGTCCTTATTGTGTGACACCAAACAGATGTTGTGGAATTTCCTGTGAATGGACCGCTTCCCTCGTCTGGCACCGGGAAAGAGGTTGACCAAAGTGCGCACGATAAGTTTCAGTTTTGCTTACGCGTGGCACATTTTGCTTTGTGTTTTTACAGGTCCCAAAGAAATAAACACTTTACCCTTTGTCATTTCTTTTTGTTTCAGGGCATTAAATATTTAAATACACGTGTTATCCGTGTTAGAGCGGCATGTTTAAGCCGCGGTCCCGTTTTCCCCCCCGACAGACTGCAAATGCTCACCATCTCCTGACCAGATTACATTCCGCCTCACTGCACTGAATAATCACATTTTGCATACTTTTCATTCGTTATTTATTTATTTACAGAAAAAAAACTCCGTTATTATATTTTAAATCGACGTTAATTGCAATTCACACCATAGTACTTGTGACATTTTGATAATCGCACTTTTGACTGTTATGTCGGACAAACACTCCTGATTTTTCCCCTTGAGTGAGAAAATGAGTGGGCATGAACATGATAATTTAAACAGCGAGATTCATTCAGTCAGTTTTTATCCTGAGTGGAGCATCGAGTGTCCCTGAAACTTTTCCTTTTTTTCAAGTTTTGTCTTAAACATTAGATGCAACATTTATCTGTTTTTTTTTATGAGAATGTATTCATAAAATGTATACTATCCAGTTTAAGTAGTTAATATAATATTTGCTTAGTATTTTTCTGTTACATGATATTTTGTGAGCAGTTTTCGACAATATAATTCGGATGTGTCTGTGATGTAATGAGGTTAAACGCTCTAGGTGTTTTTTTTTTTTATCTTTTTTTTTCTGCTTTGCTCCAATCTGGCCTTTGCATTTGTCTTTGCAGGAGTGCTACCACACTAATTTGTTGCAAGGTTAAAGCGTGTCAACAGTCACATTCCTAGGATGCGACACCCGCTTCTTTCAACGCGTTAGCTCATGTACAACAAAGTGTTAGAACGAAATATACATATTTATGGGCAGCTATTTGAAAAAAGAAAAAGAAAAAAGGAAAGTCGTACTTCTATGGTTGTGAGAGTGTGTTTAAAGGGCTACTAGGGATGAACTCCATCTCCATCTTTCGGGTTTTTTTTCAGCATCCTGGATAATGAACAGATGCTGCAAAAATTAGGAAAGAAACATCGACTCCTCCCAGCAGTGCCACTTTGGCCCGGTGAACCGCGGCGCACTGCTCACGCCGGGCTGTCCTCCACGGAGCTCATGGTGCTGCTGGGGAACATTAAGGGACTTGGCACGACTCTTCACCGCCAGCCTGCCAACCTTCTCCCTTCCTCGCTCTCCATGGAGGAAAAGGAGGTGGTGCTGGTTGTAATGGTGGTGCATTCGGGAGGTATTTTTGATAGATGTCCTCTCTATTTCTGGCTTGTTTCACTTTTGGATCAACTCCTGCGTGAAATCAATCCAGCGTTCCTCTCTCTCCATTCTGCTGATGAGGCCAAAAAAATGGGGGTCTAAAAGTTAAATAAAAGTGGAACAAAAAAAATAAAATAAAATAAAACAGAGAAAGAGACGGGTTGACAGCTTTTTTCGCGTTTTTAAGAAAACCAGAAGACACCCCGCGGGGTTATTCGGTTGATTCCCTGCAGGAAGTCCCACAGGTGTAAATATCTGCCAAACAGAACAGGTTGTAAACTGTATAACAAAACACGCCGATTAACAAACCAAGTTTTAATACAAGGCGTTAATATTGTTCGGTGAGTCAGAAAAACGCCTCCTTTGCTAGAAAATTTGCCAAAAGTTATAAAAAATCGGTACAAAAATAGAAAGACGAAGATGAATAAATAATCCGTGACTTAATTCAAAGTTGAATGGAATTCTTATTATAAACATATTTATTTTATATATTTATATATAGCATTATTAACAACAAGTCTTTTCTATTTCAGATTTTTTTTAATTACTACATTATATATATATATATATATATATATATATATATATATATATATATATATATATATATATATATATATATATATATATATATATATATATATATATATATATATATATATATATATATATATATGTTTTTACTTCTGTCTTTATTTATTTTTTATTCAAAGCTAAATTTAAGACTACTCTCTCTGTTCTTTATCAGGAGAGAAACAGATGGTTTGCTTCTGCACAAATGTTGAGACTTTTGGAAAAAAAAGTTGTTCTGACAGCTAAATATTCAACATATATATATATATATATATATATATATATATATATATATATATATATATATATATATATATATATATATATATATATATATATATATATATATATATATATATATATATATATATATATATATATATATATATATACACACATATATATATATATATATGTGTGTATATATATATATATATACACACATATATATATATATATATATATATATATATATATATATATATACTTGTTGTTAGTAATGCTATAGTGTTGATACTGATGATTAACGCCTGCAAACAAATGTCCTGACGGCCCAGTGCACCCAGAACCTTTTTGAGAGAACATATGGGTCGCGGGGCAGCGCTCCAAACCCGGCCAAGACGGGAACGGCTGCCCCCTGCACTCTGGTGAGTGGGAACGTGTGTTTGGAAACCATTAAACACACATTTCTATATTTTATCAAAATGTTTTTTTATAAAAACAATGAATAAAATAAACTGATTTTTTTATATATTTATGTATATATATATATATATATATATATATATATATATATATATATATATATATATATATATATATATATATATATATATATATATATATATATATATATATATATATATATATATATATATATATATATATATATTCATCACGAGTAATTCTTCTAAACACACACTCTCTACTTTTGTTACAGTGTATTTTATACGTAACAAATCCAATATGATTAAGAAGATTTATTTCAAAAACGCCAAACTTGAAAGAAGTGTTTTAGATTTTTTTTGAGACAATCTTGAAATCGACAATATCTAGCGGTTAATTAAGTAAACTAGATCCTCAGCCAAAATACAGAAACAAATTTTACGATTCAGCGAAATATTTGCTACTGTTTTGTTTTTTAATACTAGAAGTTTGGTCCTGGTGGTCCGTTTTTTTTTCTTTGAACTTGCTAATTGATCTCTTTGATTTTTCTTTAACATTTGATCCTCTGAAAGAAAAACACTAGATAGCTTTGAAATGTTCCATTAGGCAAAGAAGAAACATTTAACAACGGGAGCTCTCCGTGGTACTGAAATGCATTCGGTATCTTAGCTCTAACTTTAGTGTTTAACATTTTTTCTGATGCTTATAAAGTGACCTACTGGCATCATTTAATCCATATTCCACATTTGCTGCTAATAAGATCGGGTTGTCATCATAAACTTCAAGAATCTGGTGAAATTCTGGGGTTAATGAGTATTTGTTTCATTTAACACTGCTACAGACGTAGATAACTTAAATAAAATAAAATAACATTTTTCTTCGTTTGGATCAAATTAAAATGGTTGTTTTCTATTTATTAGCATTTAAGGCACTCAGGCTCAAAGGAACTCCAGCAGGTTGCCACTTATACCCCAGCCTCCCTCTTCTAGCTTTCTTTGTTGGAACAAAAAATAAAAAAAACAGCAAAAATAACAATACGTTACATATTTTTGGGTATCTAAACGTATAGAAAATGATTCAGTGACACAGACTTAGTTATTGTTGTTTTATTTTACCACACAGTCGGTTGAATACAAAGTTGAAGAGTTTAATTTCTATGAAAACAAAAAGAAAAATGTCCAGCAACACAGGGTTCCCTTCATATCCATTAAATATTAACATTAATTACAAAATAAATAATAATAATCCACGTGCAATAGTGATGATAATAATTTATAGTGATCAATATCAAACAAACATTGGCAATAAATCAAAAATACAGTGTAATGGGCCTTTAAGACAAACATAATATGAATAGATAAATAAATTAATAAGTCATATAATATCTTCCGTTGTCAGCTCTTGTGTATATCCAAGTGTTGTTCGGATTCTGCTTAAGATTTTGTTTGTCAGGCTCTGAAGTGTGATTCTGGGTTGTGTGTATGCATATGAGTGTGTGTGTGTCTGTGCAGCAGCAGTGCTGTGATTGGATGAGTGGCTTTCTCGGCCTTTTGCCGCCTTGCTTTGTGCTCTCGCAGGGTTTTGCATAGATACCAAACGACTGAAAAAAAAATCCCAACTTATCCTAAATCAACATTTTAAAAGATATATTTTTGTTTTAAACGTCTCTTTATTTTTTTATTTATTTATTTATTTATTTTTTGCCCGTCTGTTACTTGTTTTTTTTTTTTATTATTATTATTATTTCGCCCTTTGAAGATTGTTTCTTGGTCACTTTTTTAATATAACCATTACTGTGGTGGTGGGGGGTGGTGTGGGGGCGCTATACAGCCAGCGATGTAGTGATGCATGAAAAATGTGGAGGTGAAATAGTACGTCCTTCTATCAAAATGCAAACAATCCAACACAAACACAAATCACACGTTATAAATACTATTTCAAATCATTTTGTTTTCTTCTTTTTTTTATTGATTCCCCATGAAATGCATGTTTTGTTTAGAGGAGGAGAAGCTTTTACTGAGCAAAATTAGACTGTTGTTAAACTTATCTTCCATTGCACCCCTGACTATGTAAAAAAAAAAACTCGATATTGACAAATAAAGGAAAGTAGCCTACACCACTGAAAACAAAAAGCTAGAGTTTCTTTTTTTAATTATTTTGTTGTTATTATTTCCAGGATTCTGCCTGAATCCAAATGTGTGCCGTGGATGGTTTGACAACAGGAAGACGCACGGATTCACTTTTAATTGTGGAAAAACGCGTTCAGTTCATCATACACGGGGCCCCGTTCGTGGTGTAAGTGCATGTCATGGTAAGGCAGAACGTTTTCAGAGTGAATGCCGCTCCGGGCCCCTGAGGAGCCAAACACCAGGTTATGGGCCCCTGAAGGTCTGGAGCCAGGCAGACCAGAGTAATGCATAGAGTAGTGGTACCCCTTCTCATTCTCCGGGGAACCAGAGCCTTGGTGCTTCAGGGAAAAGTTGCCGTTGATGCACAAGGGTGGGCTGAGAGGGCCCTCATATTCGGGGCTGTTGTATTCCGGCGATCCGCTCCCACCGTACAGTGAGTCGTACGCCGAGCAATAACCGTGCGTCCTCAGCGGATGCGAGTTCGAGCCCGGCTGGCAGTGGGGGCTGGACAGACGAGCGCACTGGTAGGGGTAGGAGTGCATGGAGAAGGAGCCAGACGCATATCTGCCCCCATCCTGACACTGTTGCTCAGTGAGGAAGTTGCGGGAGTTCAGCTGCAGGCATCCCGCCACCAGGTTGGTGGTGGGCTGGGAAAGTCCTTTGCAAAGAGTCTGGACGTAGGAAACGAGGTCAGGTCTTTTCCCAGAGCGGAGTATCTCCGACAAAGCCCATATATAGTTCTTTGCCAGCCGCAATGTCTCGATTTTGGACAGTTTTTGTGTTTTGGAATAACAGGGCACAACTTTACGCAGATTGTCGAGCGCAGAGTTCAGGTCGTGCATCCGGGTCCGCTCTCTGGCGTTGGCCTTTATCCTCCGCAGCTTGGAGCGCTCGATCCGGGCCTGGGTCATTTTGCGTTTTTTAGGGCCCCTTTTCTTGGGCCTGTCTCCCTCTGCATCCTCACCGTCCTCGTCTTCTTCCGCATCGTCGTCGTCGTCGTCGTCATCACCGGCATGTTCAGACTGAGTCACACTGCCTCCCCTCAGGTCAGAGGACTCCATGTCGTCCTGCGCGTCTTGATCCTCGTCTTTGACTTTCTGGTCCTCTCCATCGCTGTCGTCTGCCCAGGCAGAGTATTTTTGCACATCGGGAAGCAGCGAAGGATCACTGAAAAGCCTTGTCAACATTGTGAATCTGCAAAAAATAGATTCAGATGGACAGGACAGTCACAATGGGGGAGAAATTGCTGTTTTTTTTGTTTGTTTTGCTGCAGTTTCTCCAAAATAGACAATACTAGCTTTATTGTTGTTTTTATTCTCTTTATTATAACTTTTTTACGAGAAAATAAATCAACTGTGTATTATAAAAGATTGCATTGGTCACAAAGAACCAAAGTATGAATCATTTCAAGAAATGGAGCCTTAAAGCTTCCCACTGCTTTACAGCTGGACTGATCCTCATTTAATTCCCTGCTGTCATTGGTTTGCCCTGTCGCGTCCTCTCGCAGCGGGACCCAGCGGCAGGGGCCACATTACAGGTCCCACGGGGCCCCGCTTTCACTCCTCCTGACGCCCATATATACTTCTGGCTGCATTCCAGCAGTATTCATGCACACATCCCACCTCTCTTCAGAGGCAAAAAAAAAAATAGGTTATTTTTAATTACATGTATTTCGGTTTTCTTCTGTTAATTAAACAAATCGGTAAATATTTATTACAATAAATGGATCAAAATATATCGTATACACTTTAAATAAAAAAAATCATATGTAAAATTCATTAATTTATCTTTTGCATCACCCTAACACTGATTCATCAAAGGTATCCTTGACTGCCTTTCTTCCTAACGTGCTACATTTATTTTGCAGCAGCAAGGTGCTCTATGCTGCAGGCTTAATTATCTCGGAGGATGTGCCAGGGGCAAAATCTAGCATTTAAATCTCAGGCTCAGGAGATTTCTACAATTATATGGGGAAAAAAATGCAACAACATTTAATTAACAGAACATGCATATAGCAGTAAATGGATTTCACACATAATTCAGTATGCACCAATGCGTGATTTCAGGTTTTACAAATGGAAATCGCGTGTATCCTTTTAGCTCTCGTTAAAAATAACAATCCCACAGAACTCCTGAGTGTTTTTCAAAAAGGAGTGGGGGGGAAACAAGTGGACAAAACAGAGATAAATCAAGCCTGTGACGGTCAGTGGCGTTGTCCCGCCCTTTCATTTGCTCCGAGCCTGAAGGTAAAAAAAAAAAAAATCATAAAACAACAGAAAAACGAGAGGAAAATAGAATAATTCTCATGAGAGAAGCTTTTGTGGACTTTCTTGCTTCAAAAAACGGAGCTGATGGGGAAAAAAGGGGCTAAATGGTATTGTCTTTCCCGTTGTCTTTTGTTTATCAGATCAGCACCGTCCGAGCGCAGGAATCTCACCAGCAAATCAGTGTCCAGCATGTTTCTGCTATCAGAGGCTATTCCAATCCTCAGGACTGATTCCCTGAAACACGATCCAAGAGGAAGTGAAACTGGCATAGGTGGAATATTTAACAGCTTTCATCATCCAGGTAGCTTCTGGTGTCAGAAGTTGAAGGGCAAACCTGGCAGGGCATCATTAAAGCTCAGCTACCGTCCCAATCAGGCTTGTGCCACCAGCGTGATTTTTGTTCTTACAGCGCTTGCATTGCGTTGGATGGATGCGAATCTGCTAGAACAATTAGATGATTAGATCTCCATGTGTATCAAAGCCAAAAGAGACTGGAAATGACAAGTAACGTGCGTGTGTAAAATCACCACAGTTATTAGAACTATGATCCCATTTAATCTGATTGTCTAATAAAAAAATAAAAAAATCTCCACCATTATTGATTCAGCATTTTTTTTCAGTTATGTATTTCTATAAAATGTTTTATATAACTTACCTTTGCTTTCGCGATTAATTGGATGGGAGGCAGAAACAGAGGAAGAATAAAACGCGCTTTGGTTTCAAACCATCTTCAGGGGCGCACGAGCGGGCGCAGCACCGCTCTCCGTCAGCGTGCAGGTGCAGGGAACGCGCGGCTGTCGCTTACTGTCTCTGGTGCGTCCTCCTGTCCCGGCGTCCTGGTGTTTCTGCGTGTGCATGCGTGAGGGCATGCATGCACGGATGTAAACGCGCGTGCCTGTGTGTGTGCGAGCGAGGAAGATAAAGGGAGAGAGAAAGTGTGTGTGTCGGTGCACGTATGGCAACCGTGAGCTACCGGGAGAGGGGTTACATACCAGCTAAGCCTGTGATGCCAGCGCCCATATGGCTGGCACGTCACCGGCAAGAGCCATCACATGAGAGGCCGGTGATTGACATGCGCCCGCATTCGGAGAGATTTGCCCTCCCGGGGGAAGAGAGACACACAGAGAGAAAGAAGGAAAGGAGTGAGAGAGGAGGAGGAGGAGGAGATGTAGATGGTGTTGGAGGAGGAGGAGGAGGGCTTCGCCATCTGTCACCGCGGCAGCGCTCACACAGCCAGAAAAAAAGGGGAAAAACAGAAGAGAGAGGGAGAAAATAAAATGGAGGAACAACAAAACTCATCATTTCTGACCTGAGCTGCCGCTTCAGACATGTAGGCCACTTAAAAAAAATCATCTGTTTGCCAAACTCACTTTTAAACGCCAACAAGTGACTGGGTTGCTGCAATCAGCACAAGGAAGATGCTACTAAAAACTATAAATACAGACATGCGAGTGTGGTGAGGTCAATGTATAATTTGGCTTGATCAGCCTCAGTTTCATGTGTGAAAACGATTTCCAATGAGACTGAGATGGTGTGAAATATGTTTAAGGGAAAGTACAGTAAATAAGGCACGACCTAATCCTTACAGCTGGAGCTATGAAATCCACTAAACAATCAATTCACTTTGTTAAAATCCCTGTTTGAAATAATGGACATCAATGCTGCATTAAGGCCATTATAAAACTCTTCACCCAATAAACACTTAGGAAACTGAATTTGGTTTATATTTCCCCTCCAACAGATATGTAGTTTGTTCATGCCTGAGTGGGAGCAGAGGGGGTGGGGGCTTGGTGGATGCATTATAACTGCATTAAGGCCATGGAACAGAAGGCATATTGTTTATTTATTTAACTAATTGGATCAAATTATACCTTCATGATATTCAGAGGAACGGCAACCAAAACCAATTGTGATTTGTTCTGACTCTTCTGGGCCTGGCTCTGGCTAAGGCCGACCCACTTGCCAGAGTCTCAGATGAAATCAAATTAAAACGTGTGACACTGGGTATACAGGCAATCAGGGCCGTGCAGAGACCACTAAAGGGGCAGGTGCTCAAAAAAAAAAAAGGGCACATGTTATCGCATTTTAGGACACAATATTAACAAAGTCACATAGCTTTCAGAGTTTAATGAACAATGATAAATTACAAAATTGTGAGACATACAATCAAAGCTAAGGGAAATATCTACAAAGAACATAGAACTATGCATATGTAAAATATTTTATTAGTAATTTCTTTCTGCAGGTCTATTTTGTTATAGGAAAGTATTACAATATTCAAACCTGCAATTTAGCCAAAGATGTAAATCAGAGCTGGACCACCAGACATATTTTGTCTTTACAGAATTAAACTGTTAAAAATGCATACAAGGGCACAATGCAACCTTTTAGTGTACTGTAATCTATAAAAAAAATGTCTGCCTGGTTTGCTGTACTGACAGTGGAGATGGAGACGGTCCATTCAGAAAAGCAGAGCTGCTGCATCAAACTTTAACGTGGAACTGCAGAAAAAAAGAACAAAACAAACATTTTATTAATGCATGTCACCATGAGAAAAGCCTACTCTGTTTGTGTCTTAGTGTATTTTGTAAGTACCTATATACATTTTCTTCAATCTTTCCTCTTTGTTTTTTCTTGTCAGTTTCTCTTTTCTTTTTTTCCTCATTGTCTCATCTTTTCTGTGTTGAGTGAAGGTCAATGTCTTATTTATTTCAGTCTCTTGCCTTTCTTTTCCCCCCAAACTAAACCCAAGATTATGATCCAAAAACTTATTTCCCGTCATGGTGATTTAACTGTTTAAAAACAAAATTCCAACTTTTAAGTATTTTTGCTATTTTTGTTCTCTTTTGTTCACAGCAGCAGTTTTCTGTTAGCCATGTCTTTAAAAATGTTAATAACCTCACTGTGAATGATTGGCACATCCTTCTCGATTGCCAACAAAAGAAGGTCTGACAACCGATCCTCCTTGCATAGGCTGCGCAGTTTTGTTTTCACCAGCTTCATACATTATATCTATCATATACAGGTGCTGGTCATAAAATTAGAATATCATGAAAAAGTAGATTGATTTCAGTAATTCCATTTAAAAAGTGAAACTTGTATATTATATTCATACATTACATACAAACTCATATATTTCAGATGTTTATTTTGTTTAATTTTGATGATTACAAATGACAACAAATGAAAATCTCAAATTCATCATATCAGAAAATTAGAATATTGTGAAAAGGTTCAAAATTGATGGCCCCTGGTACCACACTCTAATCAGCTAATTAACTCAAACCACCTGCAAAAGCCTTTAAATGGTCTTTCAGTCTAGTTCTATAGGCTACACAATCATGGGGAAGACTGCTGACTTGACAGTTGTCCAAAAGACGACCATCGACACCTTGCACAAGGAGGGCAAGACACAAAAGGTCATCGCTAAAGAGGCTGGCTGTTCACAGAGCTCAGTGTCCAAGCACATTAATAGAGAGGCGAAGGGAAGGAAAAGATGTGGTCGAAAAAAGTGTACAAGCAAGAGAGATAACCGCACCCTGGAGAGGATTGTGAAACAAAACCCCTTCAAAAATGTGGGGGAGATTCACAAAGAGTGGACTGCAGCTGGAGTGAGTGCTTCAAGAACCACCACACACAGACGTATGAAAGACATGGGTTTCTGCTGTCGCATTCCTTGTGTCAAGCCACTCTTGAACCACAGACAGCGTCAGAAGCGTCTAAAGAGAAACAGGACTGGACTGCTGGTGAGTGGTCCAAAGTCATGTTCTCTGATGAAAGTAAATTTTGCATTTCCTTTGGAAATCAAGGTCCCAGAGTCTGGAGGAAAAGAAGAGAGGCACTTCATCCACGTTGCTTGAAGTCCAGTGTAAAGTTTCCACAGTCAGTGATGGTTTGGGGTGCCATGTCATCTGCTGGTGTTGGTCCATTGTGTTTTCTGAGGTCCAGGGTCAACGCAGCCACATACCAGGAAGTTTTAGAGCACTTCATGCTTCCTGCAGCTGACCAACTTTTTGGAGATGCAGATTTCATTTTCCAACAGGACTTGGCACCTGCACACAGTGCCAAAGCTACCAGTACCTGGTTGAAGGACCATGGTATCCCTGTTCTTAATTGGCCAGCAAACTCTCCTGACCTTAACCCCATAGAAAATCTATGGGGTATTGTGAAGAAGAAGATGCAATACACCAGACCCAACAATTCAGAAGAGCTAAAAGCCACTAATAGAGCAACCTGGGCTATCATAACACCTGAGCAGTGCCACAGACTGATCGACTCCATGCCACGCCGCATTGCTGCAGTAATACAGGCCAAAGGAGGCCCAACTAAATACTGAGTGCTGTACATGCTCATACTTTTCATGTTCATACTTTTCAGTTGGCCAACATTTCTATAAATCCTTTGTTTTTATTGGTCTTCAGTAATATTCTAATTTTCTGATATGATGAATTTGAGATTTTCATTTGTTGTCATTTGTAATCATCAAAATTAAACAAAATAAACATCTGAAATATATGAGTTTGTATGTAATGTATGAATATAATATACAAGTTTCACTTTTTAAATGGAATTACTGAAATCAATCTACTTTTTCATGATATTCTAATTTTATGACCAGCACCTGTATGTATCATGGTAGTTCTGGATGAGTTCTCCTTCAAGATACATTTACCTAACGCTAGAATAAATGAAATGTACATCATGCAGCAAAGGAAATTAGAAAATCAGACATATATCCATTATGGAGATGATAGGTTTTTGACGGGCGATGTGCCCCTATTGCATAAGTAATACTGAAGAATGTCCTACTATTATTAACGACACAGGGAAGCTTTTTAGTTATCTTGCTTTGCTAGCAAAGTCATTAGCTAGCAGCTAGCTCATAGCACAAGAACAACAGCCTAATGTCTGTATGATAAAAATACTGAATCGATAGATAAGAACAGCTTTTCCTCACCTGGCTGTCTCCTCCCGCTCAGTAGTTCTTCAGAGAAAGGCGCGCCGCGTCCTATACTTTCCTCCATTTAAACCGCTACTCTTTGCAAAAGTAGAGAAATTATACAACGTTCAAAGTTTTCCATTGTCTGACAAGTAGCAAGCCTACTCCAGTATTTTCACCAAAAATTATGTTTTTTAATTCACAAAAAAAACTGTTCTGTAATCATTACAGAACAGTTTTTTGTGAATTAAAAAACATAATTTTCAATGTAAAAGACTAAAAGCACAGAGTAAACAGTGTTTTAGATCAAACAATACTGCATCATCCATGGGGCTCATTTGGTTTCACTTACATGTCTATTCAGGTTGACATTGGAGAGGCGGTGCAGACTGAAGACATAGCCATCCGTCCGATCATGGTTGATCTTGCTTAGGGCCAAATGAGCAGCGGCCACAGTGTAATGTGGAATGTTCGCTACCTTTAGCTCCGCAGTTAGCCGCCTTATCTGACTGTCCGAGAGGCAAGTGCGTCGTCACCGGCAAAAGGTCAAAGGTAACAATGTGACCAGAGGGCTTATTGTATTGTTTTTCTTGCCCCCAAAAAAAGATAATAATAATAATTTCAGTACATGTGTCAAATAAAAAAAAAAAAAAAAAAAAAAAAAAAAAGGGACCAAAAGGGCCCATTGGGATCATGGAGCAAAAGGGGCAGGTGCTCAAGCCCCCTTAGCCCCCCCCTCTGCACGTGCCTGCAGGCAATCGTCTGCGGGTGGCTGCTGTCTGAGAGTGAGTTTTCTGCAAAGCTGAGTGAGGGCTGCTTGCAATGGAGAACATCAAGAAGCCATGCATAGTGAGAGCGAGAGACCCAGGTGTGCATGTCCATGAGGGATGTATGAAAAATGAGGAAGAAGTGGGGGTGCAGTGGTGGATGACAGGGAATTAATGCCGGTTGGAGCTGGCAGAGGTGCCCACGAATAAGGAGGAGGCATGTTGGCACATGATCGGCAGAGATGTAAGAAATCCTAGTTCCTTTCAGTGTCTTTCCTGC